CTGGTGGAGTCCAAAGCTGGAGCAGACGAACTACTACATATTCGAAAGCGCCGAGTGGAGGACAAACACCACGAACTGCCAGCTAACAGCTGAGGCAAGCAGCAAGCGGGCTGTGGCGGGGCCAGACGGGGAAGCCGGCGGTGAAATGTTGGCTCTGTTGAAGGCAATAAAATGAAATTACAACTTAATTGTCATAAATAATTCAGGAGATTCCTTGGCAGCGTCGAAAACTCTGCGTTGCGAACGAAATCAGAACGACCCGCAAATACACCCCATCCCTGCCGCCCCGCCTCCTGCTCGGCTACTCCATCTAAAAGCAAAGCTCGTCCACCTTATACGTTGGAGCTTAACGAACATTTTAAAGCCAGCTGCTGATTAAAGTGAACAAATTCGTTCGAGGCAGCTGCAGGAGCAATATTATGTGTTTTATTATTAACAAAGTTAATCCCCTGACCTAGTTACGTTGACTCAACGCGCACACACACACACCCAGACACACAGACAACTCGATGGGGAATCGCTGCTGAGTCTCTATCAGATCAAGTGCATGAATATAATATTAGCAGAGCTTCACAAAATAAACAGCTGATTACAACCTGATCAAATCGCAAACGTGGCCAGAGGCCAGAAGTCAGAAGTCAAAAGTGAAAAGCAAAAAGCGCAACGGGAAAAGGGAAAAGTTAAAAGTCGAATGGCAATTAAATTGAAATTGATTTAATTGCAATCAATTGACGGTATTGCTTATCCAGCCACATGTCAGGCTATTTCATTATTTTCAATTGGCCTGATTTAGCAGATTTTCGACAGGAGTAGCATGTGTGCGAGCTCTCCCTTGGCTGTTGCATATTCGTCTATGACAGATTCCCTCAATTATGCAGAGAATATTGTTTGGGCTGATGCCAAACAAAACAACAAGTAAATAATGGTAAATTAGCAAAATGACAAAAGTTCTACAACAATCACACACATGTACACACACACACGCGCACGCATATGCGTGGTAGGCCCACAATTTGGAGGGGTTCGGTAAGCAGCTCCTGATTGCCAGTTAAGAATGTGCAAACAAGCAAACAAACCAACCGTCGCGACGGCAGGGTCTGATTGTGATTGTTAGAAGCTGGGGCGAACATCAGCAGCAGAACCAGCAGAAGGAGCTGGAGCAGTAGCTGGGACAGGAGCAGGAACAGGAGCGATGCGAAGGCATAGAATTGGTTAAGGGACAAGAAACTGCTTACGAAAACAAAAAGAAAATATAACATGTGTTCAATGCGATGTGAACACACTCTGCGGGTCGTCCTTGCCACCGAAGAGGGGAACATCATATTTCTATTGCTCCCCTTGTCCCTGGTGGGATCCGGTGACTGTTGGCCAGCACTGGAGGCCTTTAAAAAGTAACACTGTGTCGAGCAAACAATCGAACAATTTATTTTGGTTTAATAATAATAAAGAAGGCACAGAAAAAAATGAAAAACGGGAGTAAATGGCGAACGAGGAAAAGTGCAAACCAAGTGAAAACCCGGAAAATGTATATAAATGCCCATCAGGAGCTGGAAGGCGACTCCTTTATTTCGCCCTGAACGCATCCACATGCTGTATATATATATTAAAAAAGTGAAAAATAAAAAAAAAACAAAATAATGTAAATAAACCATTCGCAAATGTACAATGAAAGAAAAACAATGTTAAAAGGAGGGCAGCAGAAACAGTGACTGTGTATAACTGTGTATAAGTAAAAGAAAGCAAGTAATTGCCTATGCTACATTGTGTTCGCCTTGAAGACACCCTAGAATGGGACAACTTTTTTCATTATTTTGCTCGATTTGTAGATGGCGGTATCTTGAAAATCAAACTGGTGGAAAGTAGAAGGTGAAAATGCTGATGCCCTAGACTAATTGAGACTCAGTCAAAAAGAGAATAGATAAAAAAAATTATAAATTTGTAGGTGAGATTCAGAGTCGTTAAGTGATTTATATGAGAATTAGTCTGATAAAGCCAAATAAATATCTATATATACGTAAGGTAAACCCAATAATAATCTTTGCTACAGGATGCTCGTCTAGATAGTGAATCTTCAGGTTACTTTTAACATGAGAAAAGCCAAACGATAGATAAAAAGAATCGTGTCATATGCCAAAGATATCGCAGTTACAAAATTGGTATGAATCAAAGCAACTTATGATATTTTTAAATATTTCATATTCCAAATCAGACTACCTCCTGCGCTTTTAATGCATTTATAGGGTATTTGACTTGCGCATGTATCAATGCAAGCATTAAGCTCGGGTTAAAAACATGCTTAAAAACAAAAAAAAAAAAAGTATTTAAAAAACTGTATTTTACTTGCAGTTATTAAAAATGTAATATAAAATATGAATGCACTTCAGTTGTTTATTTTAAAGGGAAAATACATTTAATATTAATTCCACTTAATGTAGCTTTTAAATTTATAAAGGCCAAATATATTTCAAAGGAATTAATGCGTTCAACGTAAATGTCTGATCTGCCTGTTTGCATATGACAGCATTGTGTGAGGATACGTGTTGTCTTCGCATCAATTTGCATTATCCAAACCAGGCTAGTGCTCGAGATTCGATTGTCTTGGTGGAGAACTATAATTAGTAGTAATCGTGGTTCGTATCCTGGCAACTAGTCACTTCTACTTCCCTGATATTAACTGTTTGCCTTGATAATTTACGTATTATATACATAATATTTATATCAAGTGGATTAATGAGCTCGCGCTGCTATATACGTTCAAGTTGTAAGTCGGCTTTGGATGCCGTTTGAGTGCAAACAGCATTTTTATTAGTAGCTAGTCGCAAGTCGCATGTTGCATGCTGCATGCTTGCTGCTTAGCTACGGATTGCTTGTCCGTCCGTAATAAGATTGTTTTGGAAAGCATGATATGATTATGATAAAGTTGCTGAAAATCCAAGCACGTAATTAACTCAGTACTGACTGAGATTTCAGCTTGGCGCCCAGACTTTTTGGCTTTGGCGGCAAGCGTCCCCATTTTCCGTTGGATACTTTCTCATCTTTCGCGATAAACTTGCGATAATTTAATTACACGCGCAGCTCAAAACTGATGCTGCCCGCGATAAATTCAGTCGAAGGCGTGGCCGATGGCGCCGACAGAGGGAAGAGGGCGGCCGTCGGGATTTGTGACAGTGACAGAGACATGACTGGGAGTGGTTCGAGTGCCACTGCTATTGCTACAGCCACTGCCACTGCCAGTGGCCATGGCTACAACGACAGTGACATCGTTTTGCGACTGCGGTAAGTGGCAGCAATGTAAATTACGCGTATTAATATCAATTTATAATCTGAATCCAAAAACCGAACGGGAAATAAAAAAAATAACGAATTTTCGCACAGTCAGGATGCCGGCGATGAGGCTGCAAATCCGTGATAAATCCTTAAAAATTACTTTTAATTTCGCAACGGAGAATGCAAAGCCTCAAATTGATGCCACAGCCAGACGGGGCTTCTTTTCCTTCGCCTCCTCGTTCCACCCTCCTGCTGCTGCACGGTGCACAGCGAAACTGAGATTGAGACAGACAGCGAGAAGAAGCCCTCTGTACCGCCAGTTAGCCAGCCACTCGGCCCAAGTATAAACTTTGGGGGAGGGCCGCATCTAGATTAAAATAAGTCGAGCGATGAAAATAGATTACGCGCGTATTTTGCGAATGATGCGGCCCTACGAAGCAACGCAGACGCTGTCCGCCGTCGGCGTTGTCGTCGACGTCTATGCCTCTGTTGCTGGCAACGTCAGCAGAGGCGTGAAAAATCCCCCCAATTTAATTTGAGTTTCCTGTTGTTGGCGTCCCTTTGTTTGATTAGTCGATTTTGTGGACTTTGGCGCTAATTGTGCACAACGCAATCACACAACAGCTCAGCTCCGTGTATGCGTGGGTGAGAGTGTGTGCATTGGTGTGTGTGTTTGAGTGTTGCATATACAATTTGTTAAAGTGCGTTGGGCAGGGGTAAAAAAACAGGCAGGACCGCATCCGTTTATGCTAATCAATTCGAGTTGGCTAGCGCATATAAGAGAGCTCACATTCACACTTACACATACACACATGCACACGCGAACGCACAAGCATACCCACTCTCACTCACACACACGCACACGTGCACAATGAAACATTCTGTTGCCGTTATTTTTGCAATATTTGCATAATTGCTTTTGTTGCTTTCGTTTTGTCGGCTTTAGCTCGACGCTCGGCGCTCGTTGTGTGCCAAATATTTATACATCGCCCCCTGTCGCTGCTGTCGCCATTGCCGTTGCCGTTGCCGCCGCAGCTGCTGCCACGGTGGCAGCAGCCACTGTCGCAGGCTGAGCAGCAGTGCCTCAGTCTAGGTGGACGCCTCTGGGCTGCGGTCGCACAATTTTTGGCCAATTTCACAAGTTGCACTCTGCGGCGATAGCGCGCACACACACACAGTGACACAGACGCTGCTACAGGCACAGGCACACAGACACACACACACAAACACGCATTAGCATATTATAATTAGCACGTTTCCACTGGGCCGAATGGCATATTTTATACGCATTGCACAAATAACACGGCAAGGCGCACCGCACCGAGGCGGAGGCAGTTGCCGCATTGCGTTTATTGGCAGGATTTAAGGCGACGCCGGAACGGAAAGGCACGGAGCGGAGGCGAACGCGAATGTGGAGATGCTGATAGAGACGGGCAAAGATACGCGGCTCTCACGGCATTTTGGCGCTCTACTTTTGAAATTCGCGACCGCAAACGCTTTGCTTGCCAAAAACGCCGAACGCCGAACATTCACGAGCTTTGGCCACCCCGCTGCGGCAGCCATTGCCGATGGCCTTCGAACGTGTCAACAGCATCTGTGGTGATGCTGATGTCACGCCGACAGCAGCAGCGACAGAGGACAGCGGCAGAGGGCACCAGCGGTAATAACAGAAGTAAGAACACCAGCAGCAGGAGCAGCACCAGCTCAGCCAGCGATAGACACTCAACACTTACAGTACGAACGATGGGAACGTCGGGCGCCCATTACGAACACATTAAGTAGAAGAGCAGCAACCGCGCGACGATGTCTACGTATCCAGTGGTCCCGTTAGACTGGCGCGCTTCCTTCACGAGCACGCACAATGAGCCGTACGACACTGGCAACAAACTTGCCAGCGCTCGTTCTCTCTTGCTACGAGTGAGACAGATAGAGAGAGAGCGCGTCGAAAGACAATTTCAACCCTCAGCAACATCAACACGGAAACATGTTGCTAACGCTTGCTATGATCCAAGAGTGAAAGCAGGAGATCAATTGAAAGTTATGTAAAGAAAAATGAATGAGTCTTATGTTTAGTTAATTAATTATTGGTTTTATTTATATCAAAATCAATGTCATATTATCGGTAAGTTATTTAAAATTACAAATGAAATAGTAAACAATATTCATAAGGAATCACGTTATGCACTGAAACGTAACTGGACTTGACTATGTTTTTGCCCAATTGACTAATATATTAATATTATTCATAGTATCACGTTATTTTAGAGTATGAATATGAACAAATGAAGTACCTAATTCGTGCGAGTTACGCTCTCATCATGGCAATCTAAAGTGCGAAAATACAATTTAAAATATACATTTATTTCTGTATAACGAATGAAAGAAATATGCTAAAAACCAAAGCTGCATTATTTCTATACTCATGCATTTTGAGTTTATAAAAAATATAGCTAATTTGTTGACTATTTTAAACATTTTTAGCCCCGTTTTATTGTGCAGGTCAGAGATAAAGTATTTTAGGCTTTCGTATATGCTTGGCAATTGTTATTTTCCTCTCTCCCTCTGCCACTCACACGAGACTTGTAGCACAAATACGGCATATGTTGCCAGCAGCATGCTGCTAAGCGCAGCATGTTGCCGAGTGAGTGTCAGGAAGAGAGAGACTTTATTTGGAAACTCTTATACTAGAATGCGCAACACATTTTCTAACGGTCACTCCAACTTGCCATATTAGACGTTTTGAAGACCTAATTTAATTCTAATTTATGTAACTATTGACAACAACAGGGTGTTAAGAGAAACTCTTTTCACATGTGTGAACTGTAAACAACCAATTGGACCGATGTGAATTAAATGAAGAGCTTCGATTGCCTGACAATGTGAGCTGAAGTCTTCATTCATTAAATTAAATTAATAGAATTCCATTGTTCATTTTCCTTTTTCCATGAAATAATTCAGTTGAGCATTAAAAGCTAAGCAATTGATGTTGACAATGATTGTTTTTTCTTTACATTCAATTCATAACAAAATGTGTTTCTCCTGCACACGCATTACACTTGAATCAATGCAAACTTCATTTTGGCTGGCTTTCAATATAACTCTTAAATGGTAAGTACTACTTACGCACACGTTGTTGCTGCCACATGTAAACAGAGCTATACAACAATGTCCTTATGTGCACTTGGGCGACTGTATGTGTGGGTAAGTGGAGGACTTGATAAAATGAATTCGAATCATGTCTAAGCAGACGATTCTCATGACTATCAGACGCTCTGGGCCATTTGCATAAGACCAAGATAAATATATTCTGATTGCCGACCCACAGACAATGTCAGGCGCTGATCGACCGGTTAAAGGTTAACATGCCGCCACGTGCACATACATATATATGCACATATGTATGTGTTTGTTGAACCTGAGGCCAAGCCTTTAGCCTGTTTATTTGTGTCGTTGGGTCGATTGAGCATCGGTGATTAAATCGATGCGGTGTTACGTCTGATTGAAATTTCGCCATCCGATATGCATTCGAGTGATTGGTTTGGCAATTGTGATTGTGAGATGCGGATTTTAATTGCGATTCGACATTCATTTGACCATCCTCACACACAGATACATATGTGTAAGCTCTGATTGAAGTAAATGCACTTATTTCGAATTTAATTCGAATGACATGTATTTGCATATAACATATGTATGCAGGCATGCATGGACTTCATTTGATATATACATACATACAAATTGTACATATATATTTGTGTGTATATGTATATATAGGATGTGAAACGTACTGCCTTACCGAGTGAAGGTCGAGAGTCGTGGCCCAGTTAAGCAGATGCGTGAATTTATTCTCAGCCCTAAATGTTGAGGGAAGCAAATGAAAACTGTGACCAAACTGAGCGCTCAATCGCATCGAGTGATTTCATGTTTAAATGTACATATAATGAATATTCAACGACAGCCACCTATTTAAATGTTCATTTTGAATAAATTATTGTTTGGTAAACAATTGAATGTGGCGCCTACACGTTCAGCCTCACCCGCACTCTCGACTACTCTCCTCGTCCATGGCCCTGGCTCTTTGACTCTGGCTCTGGCTATGTCTATGGTTCTGCCTCTGGTCCTGGTTCTGAATCTGGCGCCGGAGTTGCCGTTGACGACGCGTCGTTTATCTTGGTGAAGCGGAAATTGCGGTTGAGTTCACGCTTAAAACTTTTGTTGCCAACTGATTATCGCTGACACGCCGTGAGCTCCAGCTCTGGCAACAACAAGTTGCAAGTATAGCTTACCCAATTTACAACACACGCACACATACATACGAGCGAATTTCTATTGGCATAGGCATCTGTATGAGTCTCTTTCTATGTGTGTGTGTGTGTGTGTGAGTATGTGCTGTGTTTGCATGGAAGCCCACATCGGGCACATTTGCCGTCTACTGTCGCAGAACGCCAAAATCAGGCAGCCAACTCTTTGCCAGTGGCCCGTCAGCTCGACAGTTTGGCGATAATTAATCAAGACCATCTGCATTCACAGGGCGTAAAAATGAAATGTCACAATAAAACCATTTGCGAGTCCTTTCCCATAGACATGGTCAGAGCCCACCCACACCCACACCCACCCTCACACACACACACACACACACACACTTAGTCGAATAGCCGACACTAGCGACAATTAGCTTTTGTCAGAGGGCATGACAAACGGATTATATAAACGCCTCAATCATTCTGGCAGAGCGCAGAGTCCGCGACAAGAAGTCAAGGCAATGTCAAGCAAACCAACAGACAGACGGATGGACGGACGGTAAAATAAATGATTTACACAGAAAGAAAGATCGTATACTTAATATAACTGAAGGCCTTCCAAATACACAGCAACACACACACACATCTCTATATACAACTTTTCTTTACTTTCAACGGACAAACAAGCTTTCATATTTCGATTAAGGAAACAATTACCAATGGGAATACGTCTGCCATTCAAGCAAATTGAGCGTATGCCAAAGTGTTATATTTGATATTTATGTGCTGTCTACCTAGTCAACAAGCTTTTAGTGTGCTACACACATCCGTATATAAATCTATATGTATATAAGCGGGACATCCACACAACTGTTTGTGTAAATGATGAATCCCTTTACGAACTTTGCCCTCGCCTGCACAGCGACTGCTCGGGGCGCGACACTTGTAAAGCTGTCACAACATTAATCAAATCGGGGAGTGCAAAACAAATGCATGCCATAAATTCACAGTTCAGTCGCCATGCGGCAATTGTGCGGTCCGTGTGGCTGGCCAGTGAAAGTATTAGTGAAAGTATGTCCTGATGAGCTCGACAGTCCTATAGCTTTATAGCTGTGCAACTCTCAGCAGCTCGTGCCGTGAACTTGTGATAAATGTACTCTCGTGCATACTGAATCGCTTAGGCAAGTGAAATCGCAGTTGAATTTACATGCCAGAGCTTTAGTGTTGCATGCCCCACACACATAAGTACGTGGCACAGAGACACATATATGAGTAGGCGAATGGTTGTGCTGACGGTAAACAGCAATTGGGACTGCGATCAGCTCGTTGATGCGCAAGGACATTTGACTTTCCGGCTGTTGAACATCTCGTTTAATGACGCAGTGTCGTTGGCAATGATAATGATGCTGTTGCCGGCATCAGAGTCGACTATGCCACAAATTTGCACCTGTCTGCCTGCTGGCTTGGCGGCGCGACAAGTTTGGCATGAAATTGAAGCTTACGCCGGAGGCTCTCTGTACAAATGCCGTCACCAACCCCTGCCGACTCCCAAGGACTTGGTAAAAGATGAATCGAGAGCAGCTCAATTTTCAAAAAATGGACGCACATTTGGCCAAGAGCTATATAACACTCGCGCTCAATATTCTCATTTAAACTGGAGTTCAACACGTACAGCAAAGAGTAGAGAGCTATTCTCCTGCTGCTGCCCCTCAATGACATAGTCGACAAATAATTCATGTTTACTTAACATTTCGCACAAATTGGCAGCCATAAAATAAACAAATTGGAAACTGTTCGTGTTCAAGCCAAATGCATTGTTAACGATAAGTCCCACCACATACAAAATGGCCATGTATAAATAATAAATAAATGCATATGTATATATATATAATGTATGTATATATTTCTACATATTTATTCAGCATATAAAGCATACGATTATATTATGCAGCTATGACTATCGACCTAATCGTCTATTGTTTGCCAGCTGTTCACTTCTTTTATTTCATTTATTTTTTAAATATTATTTTTATTATTTTCGATAGTCGAGTCATTATCATAATGCAAAAGTTAATAATTTGCATTTTATTCAAGAGCCCATCTGTTTCCATTAGAGCGAATTATCTCTCAACAGACCTCAAATTTGTTCGTTGGCTGATTTAATTTGATTGGATTTTGATATTGGTTTTTATCCGCAGCAAAAATAACTAAAAGCCATCACACTAGAAAACTCATATTCTACAATCAAAATTTTAGTGATAGAAAAAGCTGTAAATTTTATTGACTGTCTCTCAATTGCAATATCGAATGCAAAATATAAAATATAGTATAAAAATGGTTTCAAATATTCGTGAAACTAAAGTCAAATTAGAAGACTCTATTTCCTATTTACTGATTGGTATACAAAACTTATGAAAGCCTTAAGTAGAATCTCTTTATACCAGAAAAGGACGATAGAGACTTTTAGTATAGAACTAAAATTATAGTAGAATTATTCATTAAATAGTACTGCTGCAACAGGCAATGATTTGCACCAATTTTAGCATTGATCTGTTTGGAATATTGGGATGGATGTGGACATATGCTAAAGT